GCTTGTGTTGTATTTTGGCTATTTGTTTGCAAAACCTGGATTGAATAACAGTAGTGGAAAGATTAAAACTACACCATATTCTATAGTTCTGAAACTAATACTCAAACTGAGTGTTAGTGGATTACAGAAGGTAATGTTTCATATTTGAAACAGAGAACTGTTTCATAGGGGGTAGGTGAAGGCTGCTCTTAGCAGGGAACAGTTCATACAATGATTAGATCATTACAAAATATACAAAAATAACTTCTTAGGGTTTTATAATTTAAAACAAAAAACAAATAGTAAGTCTGAAGCGTTTAAAGGATCCTTTAGGATAATCACATGGACATTTGGAAAGTGGAATAAATCAGAAGCCTACAAAACGACACTGCACTTGTATATTGTATATTGTATATATCGGTTTAACAACAGTATTTTTTCTTCCTTCTTTGTTGTAATGTGTACAGATTCCAGAAAGGGGGACGCCCCTAGCCTGAAGTGGATTTGAGCAAAGGTTAAAGGGAAATGGGTTGGTTTGATAATTTTAAACACAACTGACTGGACTGGACTGGACTTATAGTTTAATTGGGCTAATAATAAAAGGTTTCATGAACAAAGGATTTTAACCATTTTTTCCTCTTTCTCTTTTATTTTTTCTCCTTCTCTCTTTTTCTTCCTTGCTATTTCTTCCCTTCTCTACCACAGACAGGTACCTGGATGGAAGATTAAATTCTTTTTTCTCTCACAGTGTTGTATGTCAGTTGTTTAAACTTTTAAGGTTATATTGTATTTTGATTGATGCTGTTGGCGCAAGCGATTTAATGAAGATACTTCCACAGGTTCCAGGAGGAGTGGGGCCGGCGTGGGGGATTGTTATTGTTGTTGTATTGTGTATGTTTAATTTTAATTGTAGGTAGACCGGTTGACGGCAAAGGCTTGGAAGGGTGACAGATGGGACGAGAGCACACAGGTATCCCTGGAGAAGTTCAGTATGTAACACAATTCAGTTTCAAGTGTACAGATGCATGTAAGAATAGCATTTTATTTTAGTTTTACTAATTCTGTTTTAGGATAACATTACAGTGTAATAATACACCTATCAGTAGCAATAATAACCATCAGGGTGTCTAATTGTAGATGAACAGATGCTCAGATATATTCATCAATTAACACGGATTCCTCATTTTTCTGGACTGAATAAAACGTGCATTGAATTTAATGAAATGCAAACGTGAGACGTCATTTATCTTTGACCCATCAAGATGAATGCGGTCATTTATTTACCGAATCAAAGTTTAACATCAAACATTTACATTAATTTGGCAAAATATGAAAATAACACATAATCAATCAGGAAAACCATACGGCCACGATTTTCCGTTGCTTCACCACAGACATTTATGAAACTGTACAATTATGTTCAATTATCCACACGGCGATGGATGAGCACTTTACACAGACATTTCTAAATTATCTGGAAGGATTTATACTTTAGAGAAGAATTTAAAGATGAAAAGATGAAGTTTAAAGGGGGTGAAAGATGGTGTTTGAGGGAGAGTGTTGAACAGAACGGCACTCTCCGGGCTTTCTTCAGCTTCTTCCTTACAGTACACTTAGGTGGTGAAATCGACTCTTTTACCTGGAGATGTCTCAGGCGAGATTCCGTTTAACGCACCCTTTCAGCGTCTCCGTAGGATGGCTGTGAATCGTCCGGAGTAATGGCGAGATTCTGTCCGACACAAGCTCACCTCAGTGGAAAATGTTATAATCCCATGAAACTCGGAAGAGCTCTGTGGTCATGTCAGGGTCTTCCCGGCTCCCACAGCAACTGCCAGCACTAGGACATATCAGAACTGTCCGCACCGCCGAACTTCTCCAAACCCACAGAACTGGGCTTTTCAGACTCAGCGCAGAACCGAACTGAGAGAACTAGGAAGTACCGGCATTTTAAAGAGCTCTTTCCCGGTTCATTTGGGAGTCTTCCCATTGGTCAGAACCGACCAGACGGGGTGTGTTTTGTGACGTAAGAGGGTTACTAAAAGTCAGAAGACAGCAAGAATGTTATTGAACAGATTAAACTGTTCTCACAGACAGAGAGTGTTTTGTTTTGGCGAGTTTTAGAAACAGGTGCCAAAACCCCCCTGTTGACGTCTGAGAGGATGTAAAAACAAGGCAGTTGTTCCAACACATGTCTGCTTCGATTCCTGACCCTGGAAAACGCACACTTGCTCATTCAAAGACAGAAATCAGAAAATGCATAATTACTCTGTAACAGCTTTAACATGAACTCTAACTTTGCATGAGAATTAAAAATCATTACACTGTTTCAGTTAATAAAATCGATTAGTTCACTGCAACATCTAAAATGGTTTGAACTAAGACACTTTGATTATCAACATTTGTAAAATAGTAATGATAATAGAAAAGAGAGTGTTCTTCCACTTGAATTTTCAAGAAAGAAAGTCTCAGGATGGGTCAAACTGTATTTCTGGATGCGGATCAATGAAATGACAGTTTCTGTCCCACAAGGTTCTTAAGGTCAAGGGTTTTGACCTTAGGTTAGGTTCACTACAATACATACATATACACATATACATATATATAAATATATATATACGTACATATAGATATATATATACCATACCATACCAATTTATTTATATAGCACTTTAAACTGTGACAAAGCACACCAAAGTGCTGTACAGGGACAAACAGAACAAGCACATAGCAACAGATTACCTAACAGGACACCAAAAAGTAGAAACCAACAGAAACAATAATGGATAATATTAACAACCGCAACATGACCAACACAGTGTGATGCACACAGGCTCAGCACAGATCACACAGTGCAGAAAGCCAGGGAATAAAAGTGTGTTTTTAAGCGAGATTTAAAAACTGTGAGGGAGGGGGCCTGTCTAACGAGCAGAGGTAACTCATTCCAAAGTGT